CGGACGATTTCGGAGGTATTTGGCGCAGCTCGTGCAAGACAATCCGAAAACGTTCAGCAGAGGTTCTGTTAAATTGTCTGAGATGGAACTTTTAGGCGCTTTTGAGCGCTTTCGGGTGAAGCATGACAGTTTGTGTTCACTCATATGCCCATTCGGGTCATATAATATGAGCACGCTTTTTCTTAGTAATTCTCAAATGAAGCATTTCTATCCACTAGAATATGATCTACCTCGAGACCGAGAGTGATTACTAGCTCCATAACAAGTGTGCTCGGTCTTATCACTTGTCTTCCGTGAGATACTTGCGATGAGAGCCTTCGAAGATCACGTTAGTTCGGACTGTTCAATCTAAATTCACACAAGCTTCAATCATCCGCTGCTCTGATTTCACGCGTACAAAGCGCACATTTTTCGATTCAAGCAAACCGTGCTTGAAAGCAAACCTGCACTGTTTTTCGCGAAATCTTCGCGCGTTTGGGCTGTTCAAGTTTACTTCACCCCGCCTTATACGCGCGAAATTAAGGTAACTCAATTTTATGTTAACCTTGATCCTACTGTTTGCAGCAAGTGCTAGTGAACTCTCAGTGGGCTAAACCTAATGGTCCCAATTTTTTGAAAATCGGAGGGGAATCACCGCAGAACAAAAAGTGGGTGGTGAATGAAGATTTACCATATCTGCAATGGGCCAAAAAATTTGGTGCCACTGTGCATGCACTTGAGCACAGATACTATGGCGAAAGCATAGTCGGAGGGTAGGACCATATGAATGCATTTGCTACCTAAAATCACACCCCTGTATCTTTAGGACCGAAGAGAATCCAAACACGGATCTTAGATATTTGTCATCGTTACAAATGTTATATGACGTGGCCGACTACATACAAAGCGTCAACCACCATTCAGATAATAGTGGTCCTTGGATTGTTTTCGGTGGCTCCTATGCAGGTAACACAAAATAAGTGCAGACAGTAGCTTAGAAATATATCATAGACATAAAACGACTATTATTCAATGTAAGAGTGAATGTGAGAAGGTCCATTCAACCCGTTTTTAACGTGGGACTATAATTCTTGAGAAAGAATTTTCAAGTTATTATAATGTTTAGGTAATTTGGCTATATGGGCGCGACAGCTTTTTCCCGAATTGATCATCGGAGCTGTTGGTTCATCCGCACCAGTGGAAGCTAAGCTGGATTTTTATGGTCAGTTAATTGATAAACCTCTTCACTCTAAATACAGGTTTGTGACCCGCTGATAGTCTAAGAAGTTGCAAAAATCTTCTTGAAAATGTGGACAAAGCCTCTCCCTTTACCTATATATTGTAGAGCCTCCAATGTAGGATTGGAACTGGCCCATTATTGATAGCTTAGGCTGAGGTGACCTATGTGGC